GTCATCTGTTGTAGCTATATAACAAGAGACAGCTTCCATTTTAGGGTGAGTGCAAGACTGAGAGCAGAAAAGTCTATTTGCTGAATAGGTTTTGAGAGGGTAGTGCTGGAGGGAAATGTATAACAGCAAGAAATAACAGAAATACTTCAGCCACTACCAGTCTTTCACATCTTTCTGATGTTGGAGACGGCACAACTCACTTCTTTTGGAATTGAATTTCTCATTAACCTTATAAATCTTCCTTTCTTGATGCTGAAGTTTTGCTTGTTGAAAGGCAACTGGTTGGCTACTAAAGAAACGCACAGTTTTCTCTGATGCTTGCTTAAAATATGTTTATAAAAATTGTAGTATATTGAAGCGATAAAGGCAGAAGAATTAAAAGTGAACTTAAGGAATCTCTACCCAACATTTTGTGTATCTACATCAGTTTTACAGGCACAAATCTTGAGCGTTAATGTCAGAATGGAACTTTAAGGAATGTGTAAGGTCAGGTTAACAAAGGACAATGGCAACGTCCATTCTTTACTCTGTAATATAAAGACATGTCTTTACAAGACTCTGTTTTCACTTTTGTAGTTACTGTCTCTAGCCACCATAATTTCTTTCTCCCAGTAGAAAGATCTGAAAGTGTCAAGTCCTTAAGCCTTGCCTTTTCCTCCGCAGTATAGTGTGAGGCCAAAGAGCTAGCATTAGTAGGCTTTGCCTTGATCTCCCGTGAAAGCCTTTTCTACATGATTCTCTTGTCCTCAGAGGAGCCCTAAAGTCACTCTTAAGTCTTCTTTTGGCGAAGGAAAGTACTCTTGAAAACTACAGTCCATTGTGGTTTACATTAAAATGATAAAATAGACATTAAGAGATGTCTAGTTTCAGATTTTAACTCTAGCAGAGATTTTTTTTTTTTTTTTTTTGTAAAACCACCACTAATAGCTAACATATTCAGAAGCTAATGTATGCTTGAAGCTCTTGTCACTGTGTTTTAGGTAATCAAAGATGGCAGCCACATGATTACAGCTGATGGATGGAGATGCTGGGAGCTGGGGCCAGACAGCCTATGAGGTTCACATTGTGCAGCACGGCCTCTCCCTCAGCTGCTCTCTCCATTTATTAGTGGGCAATTTGGTTGGAAAAGAGGAATAAGTAACTCTTAGACATTGAAATTGAGTGCATATTTTTTAGTAGTTCTTTAAAGCATCTATCATGGGTTTTAAGGAATGTATAATCTATGTCTTAACCTCTGGTCCCTTTTTCCTATAGATGAAGTCACACATGGAACCCTCAGCACTTTAAGTTCAGGTAAGCTGTGAGTTGCCAGTGGAGTCTTAACTGCTTGCTCTCTATTCTTGCTCACAGGCCATTGCCCAGGTTTCTCTCAGAAACTGCTGATACTCAGTCTCCACCAGCCTTTGCTCCTCAGCAACCAAAGGCCACTTCCTGCCTTTCATCTTCCATCCCTAAATTCCATCCTGTCCCAGACCCTGACCCCACTCCTGCCTAGCCCAGCATCCTTACCCATCATCTATTTCTTCTCAGGCTCAGGGTTATAATTAACTTTCTATTAGCTTTTTTGTTAATAGAAGCTTAAAAAACATAGAACTAGCCTGAAAAATCCAGATTATTTATTATATTGACTGCTCTAAATTCTAAATGAGCTAACTTAGACATGAACATTTAAAATGCAGGCACTTCCTAAGTTTCCTGCATTACGGCAAGAATTGGGCTTTCTAATACTTTTCCAAAGTTTCTCAGGAAAGAAGACAGGATGCTAATCTCCCCCAATGCCATCTACACCAGGAATTCAGTTATAGTTTCCAGTGAAGTTATCAGCTGCATGTATTCAAATAAAGCAAACTTTGTAATAAACCGTCTCCACAAATCAAGCACAACTTATATTAATTTTTATGGCAAGCTTATTTTTCACCAAGTGGCATATAATTCCTTTCTCACAACTGTCTCAGTCTTGCTAGTCACCTTGGACTCCCCACAGTTCTCTTATCTGGACTGTGTTTATGAAGTAAGTGAAGATTTTCATGTCAAGGAATCCCTTTGAGTGAAATGGATGAAGAATTGTAATTAATAAAGGTGAAGAATTTTTGAGCCTAAGCTTTCCAGCTCAGTGGTAAGCCTGTAATTTTTAGCAGAAAGGGTTTAATAAAAATCTATGTTAGGTACAGCTTCTGAATGAGAGAAGAATAGGTTCAGTGGAGTCATTAGTGTCTATATAATCGAACATCTCACCATTAGGACTTTTAGAGGCATTGAAGGAAGGAATTCTCAGCCAAAGAGTAGGCCTTGCTGACCCATAAGGAACACAGACCTCAGACAAAAAGATGCAGCTGCGATTCCTGCCAGACAACAATAGCAGCTGATGTGAAACAAATTCTAAATACAGAAAGTCAATATCAAGGCACAGTCAATATTAAGGCACAGTCAATAAAGTATCAGGGCAATATTATATATTTCATGTATTTAATGCCAATAACAATGGTTCAAAACTCAATAGCAGTAGGACACACTAGTTAATAACTTTTTATTTCATTAAATCTTGGATCTCTTGAAATCAATACACAAATGAATTATGTAAATATTTTTATTGGAGTGTCAGGCACCTAAGAAAACAATGACAATGTTGGGTTCTTCTAAAGGTCCCAACATTATTATTCTGCTACCGTCATATTTTAAAAGATATTTCTTACTAAAAACTGAACTAAGTTTTACAACCTGTGATGTACCAGCTCCTTCAAAGAATTCTCTTTTATTAGGAATTAACTTCATAATCACACCGAAGAATGACTATAATGGAAGAGTTAGAGAAGAAGTAAAGATAAAGGCAGGTAGAACATAGTTGGCAATATAGCATTCCCGGTCAAACCTCTGGATTTGAAGACTGTATATAAGAATCACACATTTGCTTCCAAAACATTTCTCAGACCAGGAGTATAGTCCATAGCATCTACCATAAGCACAATAATTGATCCTGACATTTTTTGCTTCTTTATCAAGAAGTGGCTTTGAAATACATTTGGGTTCCAATTTACTGATGGCAAATCCTGGTATGAAAAATTTGGAAATGAAAAACAACCCTCAGCATGTTACTTGGTGAAAAGAGAGCAGAGGAAAAGCACAGAGGCCTGAGATCGGCTCCTGCCTGCGTTAGTGAATTTGTCTAAATCACTTAGCTTCTGAGCCTGGGTAAAATGAGGATGGTAATTACACTTGTCACCAGAAAATGTGTCACCACCACGCTTCTTGATGAAGCCTGAACTGTGTAACTGCAATGTCCTAGGACTGGGTTACTCTTAGAACATTTTGTAATCCCAACTAGCGTAGCTGCAAAACTGCAATGAAGACACAAAACATATTTCCTTCTCACAAGAATGAAAGTCTTCCTAACTCCAAATTTAGGTATAGCCTCTAAAAAAACGTAACTAGTAAACACAGAAACCATTTGCTTTGTAAGATCTGAATTGTCCTTTTCTTCAGAGTTATAGAAGCCAAGTCCAGCATTGAGATCGCTACTTTTATTCAGGTTCCACCATGAGTCAACTAATGTCCAGGGTGTCCTCTTGAATGTGTAAAATGGGCACACTTTTTAAATTCAACTTAAGAGACCACTGTGGAATTTCAATGAGGTAGCGTCTGTGACATGTCATACTCTATAAGCTCTTAAACACCTGAGTTTCATACCATGCTCTGAAGCAGGAGGCCAAGTCTGGTTCCTGGGTCCTCTTCCGCAATGTGATTTCCAAGCTCTAGGCTGAGTTTAAACTTCGTTTCCTCCCACATACCCTTTCCTCTGTGACACACTAACAACCTTTACTCCATCCCTGTCTTCCTTACTCTCTCCGTGATGACCCTTCTTCCCCAGCCAACTTTAAGCTCCCTTCAATGATATGTGTAACAAGTGTTCAATAGAGCGTATGTATGTATATTTAACACCATATATATGTTTTTTCCTGCTAAGTAATGCATCATAATTGTAGAAATTTGGGACTAGTAAGATAAAGCACCCGTTGGTTTAGAATCCCTGACTTGAAGTCAGATGTCGTGAATTCTAGACTTGGCTTGTCTCCTTGTAAGTGCAAAAGTCTATCTATTCCCAATTCCAGCTTGCTAATGTAAACTTCAAGTCTGATCCAAACAAGACCCCTATCAGATTTATTTTGAATGCTTATGCCAAATGGAATTCTAGAAGCCCACCTTTGCCCAGGGACTGAACCAGAACCACTACCACTGGGGGTACAGCCTGGCCATTTGCTCTGCATATTTTTTAGCCCCTTGGGTGACTGTCAGACAGTCCAACGTTTCAGAAGCTCTGCTCCAGGCTCTAGACCACACGTTGAGTAGCAAGGATGGGGGTCCGGACCTGCAGTATTGGCATCCTCTGAGAGCCTGTTAGAAAGATCTCCACCTCAATATCCCAGGCCTATCGAATCTGAATCTTGCATCTCAACACAATCCTCAGGAGATTGTGTCACACACTGAGGGTGTGGGAAGCACTGCTGCACCTCGGTGTCTTTCGATATCTACTGATACCTGGGCCCCACCCAGACATTGTCCTGTAATTGCTCTGGGATGCGGCTGGGGTAAAGGGCTCTTACAAGCTCCCCGCGTTATTTTAATGCACAGCCACAATAGAAGAGTCCCCCAAATAGCAGCTCTTCAGGGTTAAGCTGCAAGCTGAGTTAAATTGGCTTTTGTGAGCTCCCCGGGGACCTTAAGGACTGCTTAAACAGTGCTGTTTAAGGGACAATGGGCTCCGGAGACAGTTCAACCTCAGAGCTTTGGGTTCCTAAAACCCAGGGAGGGAGACTTCCTGCATCTTCCCGCAAGCAAGCCGGGCGCCGCGCCGGCCCTCACCCGCGTGCACCCCCAGCCCGGCCCCGCCCGGCTAGCCCCCTCGCGCTCCCGCGGCCCGCCCCTCCTCTCCCGTGACGTGCCGCAGCGGCCGGGATCATGCGCACTCGCGCCCCGCGCCCGGCGCCGCTGCTCCGCCTCGGCGCCTGTCATTCTCCGCGGCGCGGCGGCGAGTGCTGACTGCTGTACTACCCCGCTCGCTCGTCCGTCTGTGCGCCCGAGATGTGACCGACCGACTGGGGGCGGGCTGGCGGCTCTGCCTGCCGCAGCGCACCGATTTTTCTCGTGTCAGGTGTCTCGTTGAGCCGTGATTCCCTTGGAGCCAGAGACACGCACTAGGGGCTCGGAGCGCCGCACTCCCGGGCTGGAGGCAGCTGCAGCGCTCGGGTCCGCGCGGCCGGGTGCAGCAGCCTCAGTCGCCGCCGCGGCCTCACCGAGTCCTGTGCCCTGGCGAATGCCCGGCGCCCGGCACGGCTGAGCCGAGGCAGCTGGTGCAGAGCGGCGGCGCCTGCTCCTGCACTCGCCGCTGCCGCCCGGCTGTGCCGGGGCGGCGGCGCTGCGCGCCGGAGTTTGCAGAGGCTGCCTCCGAGCGCGGTCCCCCAAGAAGACTCCCTGCCTCCTCAGTCCCAGTAAGTTGACTGTAGTTTCTGAAGTTGGAGGGAATCGTGGAAAGGAGAGGTTCTTTTTTATCTTCTTGTGGGAAGTCGAGAGTGGTACCTCTTGTTAGCAGAGTTCAAGCTTGAGGAGGGAGTGCAGGGTGCCAAGAAGGGGACAAGGCAGCGGGAGGGTCTGGGGTCCAGGGCCTGGCTGGCCACAGCGTCTCACGAATGTGCCAGTTGGAGATGTATTGGGAGACGACAGGTGCCCTAGGGCGTTTCGCCGGCTGCTTGCTAATTGTTCAGTCTGAGCTCCTTGTCTCTGTATGTACGTTGGGGTGAAGGGGCTGGACAGGGTCTTGTCACCTCCATCCTAAGACCTCTGGGGAGTGCAGCCAGCACTGCGATGGATCTCTGGGCGTGCCATTCCTTTCAGGCCTGCAGGCTTCCCGCGCATCCCACTTTTCTCTTCCCCTAGGCAGAAGTTGCTAACCTTTTCATAATTGGAGCCCAGTCCTTTAGGGAATAAATAGTAATAACTTATACGTCGACTCGGTGTTTTATGCCCTAAGGCAAATAAAACGAGCTCTGTGCGTGCGACTTCATAGACTTTAAGAATGTGGGCAAGTCTCGAGAAATAGGACTCAAATGATGGCACTTGGGTTTCACCCTGATTGTCCTGCACCTCTTATGTAAGCCTCCAGGCTGGATAACTTTGTCTCTGCAGTGGCTGCAGCTGTGGCTCTCCATTCCATTTGTTTAAAGTCCAGCTTGAACAGTATTTAATGAAAATGCTGACATGATATAGCGGCCTGTGGCTTGAACAGAGTGCACTCTTAAAATTGGAGTGTCTTTTCCTAATAGGGAGCAGGGGAGGAACAACCCAGTATATTTTTCAAGGCAGCTCCAGGAATTAGACCCATAAATCATGTTTTAAAATAGCATGCATTGTGCGGAGAGCATGCAGAGGACCGCTTTTTGAACACATCCCCTTTGTTTTAGAAAAAGTGGAAATTGTTTATGCCAGACAATTGTTGAGTCCGAAAGTTAAGTGTACTGATGGGCCTAATTATCTTAATAAACAAAGAGCATGATTTATAAGTATCTGCAGTGCCCTACTTTGAAGGATAGAAATCTTTAACCTTTCTTTCTCAGCTGTCCCCAAGAGATTCCTTTTAAGCAGAGCAATGGGTTATCATCATTGATGTTTAATACCTGAGTTGATTAAACTTGTAAAAGGAATAGTACTTTGAAATACCATGCAGTACTGTTGTGTGCCTATTACGCAGTGAATATTATAAATAAGAGGAATATTTGGAGTATTGAGTATAGATGTCATTAGTTTAACCAAATAGATTATATTAAGACTTTCCTGCTAAATATGTATACACATACATATATGTTTAATTTGGACTTGAAGTTACTGTTTAAACCAAAGCTCAGCAGTGTGTTTTAATGTAAGATTTATTTACATAGTCTTTAGAGAGAGAATTGCATTTATTTATGGTATTTTGGCATACAGAACAAGATGAACTAGTTATAGGCACCTTATTTAACATGCAGAGAGTTTTTTTTTTTTTTAGGAATTCTAAGAAAATACACAAAATGTTATTTCAGAAGTTGAAAAGTTAGTCACATCAACACATTGCAGTTTGTGAGAGCATCCAGTGCTTATCTCTAGAAGAGATTACATCCAAGCATGGAGTCTCAAACAGATAGACCCAGTAAGCACTATTGCATCCTGGTTAAGAGGACAGGCTGTGGAGCCGGGCTGCCAGCTCTGGTCCCATCTGTTTGAATCTAGGCACGTTACCCAAAGCCTCTGTTTCAGTGTCTTCATCTGTACAATGGGGATGACAGTAGTAGTACCTACCCCACTGAACTGTGATGAGGATTAAATGAGCTCATAGTCATAAAGCTGTTGGGACAGTATCTGGCATATTAAGCTTGTTCTGGGAAAAAATTTTCATTGTTATGAAAGGAAATGCATCTTTGGATACTATGGACATTGACTTGCTGCTGATGAATGTTAACAGAGCAGTTCATGTGTCTAATAGGAGAGAGGGCATAAACATTTATTGGGCACCGCCTAGCGATACAGACACCAACTGGTGTTTAACACTGTCTTGCTGAATTCCTCACCACAGTCCTTTGAGGTAGGTGGCTTTATCTGTACTTTAGAGATGAGAAAATGGAAGCTCAATGAGAGCAAATTGAAATTAGAGCAAATTGAAATTAGAGCTGGCATTTTAACCCCTGTCTCTCTGTGCTGAAGCTGTGCTCTTTTTGACCCTGCTGCCTCACCTTGCAAATGTAGTCGTGCGTTATTATCCTCAATTTACACATGAAGAAATCTAAGCTTAAGGATTAAAGTATGCAAGGTGCTTAACAGCACCTACAACAGAAATGATCCTAATTGTTAAATAACTTGCCCATGCTTCCATAACTCCTAGTGTGTGGTAGAGGTGCCAGGTCTTTCAATTAGATGTGGATTCTGTTGCTTTTTATTTTTCTATTCATATATTCAGAGAGTCAGAAAAAGAAAAATTGGTATGATATTAGAGTTTACACTGGAGGGTGGTGTTCTCCATTTGGTTTTCTGCCTGCACGTGTAGCTGCAGCAATCTACACAGTCAAGGAAACCACCACAGCAGTGGTAATCAGTCCACGAACAGCATCATCCCTGAATATGAGTTCAGTCCCAGCTGGAGAACTCCCTTGGGCAGAGAGAGTCCTTGCACTTTGCCTCATGTTAAACTGCGTGTTCAGAAATAGAAATCATTTATCCTTTTCATTAAATAAGCATGCTCCCTTCAAGCCTTAGTACCGCATGTCCTGGGAAACAGATTCTGGGATCCTGTATGAGTAGTACTTCCTTTAAGGTTTCCATAGCTTGTTAGACGTCTCACCTGGGTTCTGGAGGTTGGGAATAATTGAGAGGCCATGGTATTTCTGTGGCTGTCCCAGGTTATCACCCAAATACTAGATAGTGTTCTGGCCTTTTGTAAGTCTTGTTTCTAGAGATTAAAATCTAATTGCTGTATAGGACAAATAGACCACAGACTGCTCACAGTCTGATTTAATTTAAATAACAGACTGATTTAATGTTTAATGAAAGCTCTTAGCTAATGTATGCTAACACTGAAAGGTACTTCAATACAGATGCTCAAAGTTGGTTTGGAAAAAAACAAACAAACAAAAAACTCTCCAAGAGTAAGCTTCCTGTAGGCTGCCCCCATGCGCCTGGGGACACAATACCATAGTTGCAAAGTGCCCAGAAGAGCCCCTGCTACCGACCAAGTCATCTCACATCTCTCTGAATACCTTCTGTCTCAACTTTAACCCTCCTTTTCAGAGAACAGATAATCCTCTTTGCTCAATTAATACAGCTAGTGCTCGACTTACAACCACGATTGGTTCTGACAGACCGGTCGTACCACGATTTGGTCGTAAGTTGAGTAGGCTATATGTACAGTACTGTGAAATGATGTTATAAAAATCTTTAAGTCATATTTTATCATAATTTTCTTTCATTATTGTTATATATCATAATTTTCTTTGTTCATTTTATGCCATTTGTATCATCTCTACACCATTTTGTTTCTTTTTACATTCGTCAGGTTTAAGTAAAACACTGCATTACCAGTACAACTGGTTTAATATTTGCAAAACGTACAAAATTACAAAATACAGGTGCATACAAAAATACAAAATACAGGTGTAAAAAATACCATAGGAAACATTTTCCCAATTGCAAAACATATCAAAATATGTAAACATGTACGAAACATTTTATTGGCCGTTTTTGAATTTGATCTTCCATCCAAATATATAGCAATTTCTCCATTTCGTGGATGGGCCCACTTCGTTGCTTTGTTATAACTGTTGATCGCTTGGGTGCAGAACCTTTCACAGCTTCACGAATGCTTTCTTTATCTTTCAAAATCATCGACACAGTCAAGTGTGATAAGTTCGTATCAGGTGCAATCACATTCACTTTCTTTCCTCCTTCATACTGCTTAATTACCTTCATTTTCGTGTTGAGATCGATGGTCTTTCTTTCCTTCTTGGCAGGCTGAGGCGTAGACAAAGACAATTTCCTCTTGGTAGACATCTTGGGAGGGGTTTGATGAAAAATATCCAAGACACAAGACACAAATTGCTGTACCAAGTCTGGGATAACAGTTGAAATGGTGCACACGGAGATGGTAGTGCTGCCGGAAGCTGGTCCACACTGTCGTACGCCCAGCTGGGCAACATTTGTGCTGCCAGACGCGGAGCAGTCATGGCTAGCGATTGTGGTCGTAAAGTCGAATGGTCGTAAGTTGCATAGGTCGTAAGTTGATCAATACCTGTAGTTTATTTCAAGTGTTCTCCTGCTCTGGGTTATTCTATAGTAAAAGTCTCCCCTGATCACTTTTGCGACTTGCATGAGGTCCATGATTTATTATTCACTAATTCCTCAGAATAATCCATATAGTTGTTTTATTTTCCATCTGTGTTATCTGTTATCTATTTAGTGTCTTATCTGTGTCAGTTTTCAATCTCTGAATAATTTTCTTCTGATGTCCATCAGAAGATAAGTGGAAAAGAAATGTAAACTAATTTTAACATGGATATAAGTGAATGAAGATCATTGACAGTCATATGTACTGCTCTGAACTTTCTTCACTTTGGGCTTGAGGAGTTGAGAGCTGATATTTCCAGAGCTCCTGCCTCATGTATTGTGAGAGGTGTGTTGGGAGGTTATATAAGTTATACACGCAAGCAGTTCATATGCAGTCCTGCAGAGACAGCCCCTGAGGGCTCAGTCATTGCTGAGTTCAAGGGCAAGGGGTAAGTATGAGGGGAAGTATGCGCAGCTCTGTGCATGATTTATGTGATCACATTTCTAGTCCTTATTGGTCCTCCTTCTGGATAAGAATTGAAATGAGTAGCTTACAGGGAGCATTACTGTGTGTTGGCCGCCATACTAAGAACTTCCCTTCATCCGCACAGTCACCTTGTTTGGTCGTACTTTATTCTCCTCTTTTGCAGAAGTGACAGCTGAGGCCTAGAAAGGTCAGGGCACTCGTCCAAGGT